TGCTGGGCTGTCCTGGCCCTGAACCCTTTGGCCTTTCAGCTCCAGGCCACGTTCTCCAGCCAACCTGGGCCAGTTTGCAAAACTGTGAGCAAACATTTCTCTCACAGTATTCACTCACTTCTCTCATAGTACTCTCTCCCTCTTCTGAATTTCTACTGCTCTTTGGCTGTGTTGTTCCCATGTGGGGCTGTCAGGCAGCTGGTAAGCACGCCTGTGTCCCCAGCCAGATGATAAGCTCTATGTGGGCCAAGCTCACGGCTGACACGTTAGTGTTTGCAGGAAGCCTGGCTCGTGCTACACCCATGACAGGCACGGGGCTATCATTTGAGGAGTGGGTTTGCAGCAACCACGGACAGGTCTACAGTATCTGAAAGAGGAGGTCTTAACTCTAAGACAGCCTGGCTAATAGAAGAGGGATAATTGGAATTAAGGTACCTGGTCAGTCCCATAGAGGGCAGAATGACCACCATGAACACCAGAAAGATGTAGCACTTGTGCACCACGACCAGATTCTGACTTGATCTAGAAGGAAACAGACAGATATTCATCAATGGACATGGCCTAATAAGAACCAAAGGCCTAACTATGTAATAGAGAGGAAGAGAAACACTGATATGGTTTGACTCTGTGTCCCCACCCAAATCTCATCTTGCAGCTCCCATAATTCCCACTTGTTGTGGGAGGGACTCATTGGGAGAAGATTGAATTATGGGGGGTGGGTCTTTCCCTTGCTGTTCTCATGATAGCAAATAAGTCTTGTGAGATCTGATGGTATTAGAAGGAGGAGTTTCCCTGCCTAAGCTCTCTTTGTCTGCTGCCATCCACGTAACACGTGCTTGCTCCTCCTTGCCTGCCGCCATGATTGTGAGGCTTCCCCAGCCACATGGAACTGTAAGTCCAATAAACCCTTTTTCCTATATTAATTACCCAGTCTCAGGTATGTCTTTATCAGCAGAGTGCAAATGGACTAATACAGAGTCCAATGAAACCTCTTTCTTTTATAAATTGTCCAGTCTCGGGTATGTCTTTATCAGCAGTGTGAAAACTGACTAATACAGACATATGCAGAGTAGAGATCTGGGCTGGGAAATTGGTTTAATCGTGCATACTGATGCCATCTCCATATACCACTGTGAGCTGTGCTGCATCTGGGGGCAGCCAGAAAGAACAGCATGATCAACTAGTGATGTCTGCGCTGGGTACAGGAAGGGATGGGAAGGCACAGATCGGCCATATAGTTGATGTCTCTGTGTTAAAGAGACATTACCAAGAGTACTCAAAATCCCTGCAGAGTTTCAGTCATCAATGTAAGTCTTGTTCTCGGCCACAGGAAAAGGCCAGGAAGGATTTCCGTTAGGACACACCTTTTGGCTGCTGCCTGGTGGAATGGTAGGAACTTTTGGTGTGGAAAGCAACTTTTGAGATGCATGCAGCTTTCAAGCCAAAATACTGCCACCTGCCCAGGGCATGGCAAATAGTTTCTACCCAGTGAGCTGCCACCATAGAACCATCAAGGCTAACAAATGGGAAAGCTCCTGATTGGGTAAAAGGTTGGCATGGTGTGGGTCATATGTGATGACAGTCACAGTGAGTGTGTGGGCCCCTCTGTGTGGCCACAGCATTCTACTGACATTCCCACACAAGTCTTTCCTCCTATGCCTTCTGCGTGGAATGCCTGGGACTGCCTAGCTCATGCCTACAGCTCCATGCTTTCAGGATATGGCTGGGGGCTGAGGGAGAAGCCCAAGGAGGGCTTGGTTTTGGCCCCACGCTCTTAGACAGTGGCTCTATCTCAGCATCCCAGGGGCCCAGAGACAACCCAGACCCTCCTTCCAAAGACAGAACATCTGTTGGTCTTTGGGGATGGTTTCAGGTATCAAAATCATCCCTTATCAATCATCCTTCTTAGGCTAGAGGGGAGGCCCAAGCGCCAGGCTAGCGGGGAAGCAAAGGCAGGGGAAGAGGCTGCAGAACCCACAGGGCTAGGAGAAGAGGCCCCCAGGTCACCTGGTCCAGTGGGCCTCCAGGAAGGCGGAGAAGTAGACAATCAGAGGCAGTATCACTGTGAAGCCCCAGAGCATCACAGAGGGGAAGAACTGGGTCACAATTGGGCTCTGCAGGGGGAGAGGGGAGGATGGCAGGAGAGACGTCAATGCAAGCATCCCCTTCCCCCTGCCTCTTCTCCTCCCACTCACTCCCAGGGCTGGCTTGCTCTCCTGGAGGCTGCAAGGGGCCTGGCCCTTCTCACTGGCCTTCCTGACACCCAAGGTCAAGTGGTCTAGGTCACTGGAGGAGCAGCCTGAGCTTTCCTGAGTGACTTCCTCCTAAGGCCAGAGCTAGCCGGGAGATGACATTGCCTTTGCTGTGATGACATGTGAGTGGGTGAGGAGGGGAGGATGGAGGAGTCCCCAGGGAGAACTGTGGTCCTGGGGTTGGATGGGGTCTGGGGCCTATTACAAAGTTTGCAAAGGAGAACAAAAATCAGCAGCAGAAGTGGTGCGGCTTGACTTGTGTGCGTATGTGCGCGTGTGCGTGCATGTGTGCATGTATGCATACACACGTGTTTTTTTGTTTGTTTTTGTTTTTTTTCAAGACGGAGTCTCGCTCTGTTGCCCAGGCTGGAGTGCAGTGGCACCATCTCGGCTCACTGCAAGCTCCGCCTCCCGGGTTCACGCCATTCTCCTGCCTCAGCCTCCTGAGTAGCTGGGACTACAGGCGCCCGCCACCACGCCCGGCTAATTTTTTTTGTATTTTTAGTAGAGACGGGGTTTCACCGTGTTGTCCAGGATGGTCTCGATCTCCTGACTTCGTGATCCGCCTGTCTCGGCCTCCCAAAGTGCTGGGATTACAGACGTGAGCCACCGCACCCGGCCTCACGTGTGTTGACTGTATGTGCATGTGGGCATGCACATGTGTTGACTCTGTGTGTGTGTGCATGTGTGCGTGTGTGCATGCACGTGTGTTGACTTTGTGTGTGTGTGCATGTGTGCGTGTGTGCATGCACGTGTGTTGACTTTGTGTGTGTGTGCATGTGCACGTGCACATGTGTGTTGTTGGAAATGAGGATGGGGAGAATATGGAAGAAGAGACCTTCCAGGCTCATCTTCACAGTCCTGAGCCTAAAGAATTTGGAAATAGGCTAGGCTCCCTCTGACCTGCACCATCAGTAGAAGGTATCCCCTAACTTCAGAGATGGTTCCTCCAGGGCTGAGCGATCCCAGCCTAGAGTGCAGGTGTCTGGAGATGAGGGAGGCAGAGGCAGATCTGGAGTTCCCACTTCTCTGAGAGGGCTGCGTTGGGACTTACCTCACTCTTCCTCACCCTCAACCATACTACACAAACCAGGAGCCTGCTGCCCTGAACAACTTGTGGAAAGCAGAGCCACTCACATTTGCCACACCCTCTGGACTCCAAGCTGGCCTGGGATGACCCCATTCATGAAGACCTCTGAGCCCATGTTGACAGGACGACACCCTCTCCAACTCACCCCAGGACCTGCCTGTGGACTCTCCACTCTCCCTTCCTATTCTAGCCCTGGTCCCTAAGACTGGCAGTCACCCACCTTCATCCCTTTAGAACAAATCAAGCCCTACCCCACCATTTGCACCACGGCCACCTCCACAATGCTCGCACTGTATGGGCTCCACAGCCGCATCCCAGGGGCCCCCCCCATTCCATCCTCGCCTGAATTCTTCCTTGATCTCCCTGGGGCCCCCAGGCCTGGCCTGAGCAGAGGAGGCACCTGCAGCTTCTCGATGGGGCGGGTGACGTTGTACATGTCGATAGTGTTCATGATGATGGCGGGCGTGGTGAGGAAGAAGAAGAGGAAGAAGAGGAAGGTGTTGATTGCGATAAAGCGGGCCCACCAAAAGAAGCGGCGGACAGACAGGTGTTTCCTGGGGAGGGATGAAAGAAGGAGGCACACTTACAGACATCAGTTCTTAGAGGCCACGTGCTGTTTGCTGCAGGCCAGCTGTGGACCCAGGCTGGCCTGGTCTAATCCAGCCTCCTGGACCCAGACCTGCATGCAGTGGGCCCCTGGACCGCCCCCTGTCACACTGTTTGTAAAGGATCCGGCGCATATAGCCAAAAAAAAAAAATGGACCTGAGTTCCTTCTGCAGGAAAAACCTTTTTGCTAAGGGTTGGATGCCTCCCACATTTGTGGGAATGAATCTAGTGGTACACACAAGTTGTGGTGCTTAGGAAAGCATGGAACTTAGTCCCCTTGGAGTCTCTGTCGGGCAATGACATGGGGAGAGAAGGCCCTGTCCTGCTGCCTTCTTCAGTCTCAGAGGAGCTCAGAGGAGAGGGGAGGGATTGGAAAAGGCTTACCAAATAATGTCTTTGGGGTGTGGAGCCATAGTGACCCTCCAGTAATAGGATTTGACGATGGTGGTCACTGAGGACTGCTGGGGTTGCACACCACAATGGATATATTTGTAATCCTTACGGACACTGCAGAGAGGGGAGAAGAGGAGGAGACGTGGGTCTGGGGGCGGGGGATGGGCTTAGGAGGGTCTCATGCCAGGGGCTCAGGGTCACTATGGTGGTCCTACAGATGGGGGCTCACCCTCTTCCTGGGGATTCTTGAAGCCTTGGCTATGTCTTCAGGACCTTACAGGCGGACAGTTCCTAAGGCCCAGTGTCTGAAGGAAAGGGCTTTTGAGGGTGCCTCGACTGCCCAGGAAGGGCAGGGGTGCCATGTGGTTCTGTTTCTGCCTTTCCCCTTAACAGCAGTGACAGCACATAGACACTCTTTCTTTGAGATTTGATAAGGGAGGTACTACTTTTAGCCTCATCTTAATATCAATAGCTACTAGTTATTGAGTTCTGTGTGCTTGATACTGTGCTAATTGATGACCAGTATCATTTCCAATGCACAGATGACTAAATCAAGGGGCCTAGAGATGTGACCAAAGAGGAGCAGGTGCTGGAGCCCCACCTCTGGCTTGCTAGCTCATATTCCGCTGTAATTAAGCCTCGGATCCTCTCTACCAAATGATGATGTCTTAAAGAATGAACAATGTTACCTTAGGTAGTTGTATTGCTTTAAACAACACAGAAATGAAATAGAAGGCATATCACTTGTCAACCCTCCGGGAGGTGAACAGGGCCGATATTAGTAACCAAATTTTCCAGATAACAAGTTGAGAGTGTAAGGAACTTGCAAAATTGTGCACCATTGTTTGTGAGCAAAATCTAGGCAGTTCTCTTCCTTTATAGGGGTGGGGTGGGTGGGAACAATGTGCTGTACAGGATCAGTCTCCCCCGGAAAGAAGAGCCCACCCGCCCCCCACAATTCTTAAGAGATAAATTCTGGAGCTCCTTTAGGACTTTGGCCCAGTCCTAAGGATCCTTCTGGAACATTCCAGAGTGGACTGAATTCATTCCTTGTCAATGCATGGGCTGCCAGAGGCTGGGGCGGAAAAGAGAGGGGACTGTAGAGCTATGAATTAGGGGAGGCCTGCAGCAGCAGAAGGGCAAGCAGAGCTTCTCTATCCTGATGCTCTCTTATGGTAAGGAGGGAGTGAGGTGTGTGTCGGCTGGGCGCGGTGGCTCACACCTGTAATCCCAGCACTTTGGGAGACTGAGGTAGGCAGATCACCTGAGGTCAGGAGTTCCAGACCAGCCCAGCCAACATGGTGAAACCCCATCTCTACTAAAAATACAAAAATTAGCTGGGCTTGGTGGCGGGCACCTGTAATCCCAGCGACTTGGGAGGCTGAGGCGGGAGAATCGCTTGAACCTGGGAGGCAGAGGTTGCAGTGAGCCAAGATTGTGCCACTGCTCTCCAGCCAGGGTGACAGAGCAAGACTCTGTCTCAAAAAAAAAAAAAAAGAAAAAAAACGAAAGAAAGAAAAAGAAAAAGGGATGTCATTCTTGTCAAGGACAGAAGAGGAACCATGAGGTCAAAGGCTTCTGGGGCCACCTCTGTGCTGAAGCAAGGACAGGGAGTGAGAAGCCCTGGCCTGGGCACCCCTCGAGACCAGCTGGGCCCCAGCAGCTAGGAGAAGCAGGTATGGCCATCTCATCCTACTGGAGAGCCAGAGGGCAGCTGCCTGTGAGGAGCATGGAGGGCCCAGGGGAGGCAGAAGGGGAAACTGGAGGGGGAGAGGGACGAGAGTGCCGAGAAGCAGGGGTGTTCTTGGGGCTGAGTGGGGTGCCTGCCTGGTGCTCACCGCTTGGCCATCCTGGAGTCCTGGAAGGTGACGAAGATCAGGTCCAGGCGCTTGAGCGGCACACGGTTGAGCTCGGCGTTGAACTCGTCCGTTAGCTGCTCCTCTAGCTCGCTGTAATACTGCTCTGCATCCACCTGGGGTGGCAGGCAGCCCTCAGGGCTGGGGCCAGAGCCCCAGTAAGGCCTCCCTGGTCACGAGGTTCCTCCCCACTCAAGCCTCCCTGGATTGTGGTGGCCTTGAAGCACCTCAAGGAGCCCAGGACCCTGGCTGGCCTCCAAAGTCCCACCTCTAGAACAAGAAGAGGCGATGACTGCCTTTCATCCCTGCCCTTAGATCTGGGGAAAGTGAGGCATAGCTAGGGGTACCCAGGGGCTTTCAGGCTTGGGGTGGACCCCAGAGAGGTGAGATAATGTGTTTGCCGCATTTCCACAAGAGAGGGTGATTCTTTTCCTGGGATGGCAGAAGTTCGGTGTGGTCCTGAAGCAAGTGTCTGAGTCTTGACGCCGTCTTTGAGCCACAGTGGTCAGGTGATAAGACAGGCTGCTGCCTTCAAATGTTTCTGTCCTATCTCTTTGGGAGCCTGAGGCCTGGCAGCCTCGTGTAGCCTGCTGTGTTTTCTCTGGTCCTTCTCTCTCATTCTCCCATCCAAGACCAGAAAGGAGACAAGAGCAAGCTTCCCTGCATTGTTCTGAAGGTGGCCTCCAGAAAGGCTCCCATCTCAACAGAGAGGCAGGACATGGTGGATGGGGAGGGAGGAGCTGGGTGGGGAGCACTGGAGCAGACCTGAATGGGGCCTGGGGCCCAACAGTGTGGGTGAAGGCACAGATCCTAGAGCCCCAGGACCCTACCACTCCCTTGCTGTGCTCCCAATGCTCAAGCCAGTTACCTCCTTGAAGCAGGTCCAGCACTTGCAGAAGCACAGGCGGGCGCAGGGGTGGATCCTGATCATCACCTTCCCAGTCTTCTTGGCCTTGGCTGTGTAGAAGAGCCGGCCCCGCATGGCGTGGCGCCTGCCAGCGGTGGGCAACGGGAGAAGGACCTGCAGGTCAGGGACCAGCAGAGCCCCATCCTCCCCTTTTACCCCCACCCCGGGCGCCGAAAGGCCCCGCTGCAGCCTCACCTCTGATCGTCCAAGTCGATCAGGTTCCTGACGTCGTAGCAGAAGTGGACTCTGGTCACGACACTGCCTGGATAGGCCTCGCTGCAGCCACAAACATGGGTGCTGAGTTGGCCTGTGGGGTGGGGATGTGCTGCCCCTAGCCCCTGCCCAGCATGTCGGCCCCCAGGGCTGGGGGGCTCAGCTGCCTGGTGTTCCTGGATGGGAGACTCCATCTCTGCTCCTAAAGCTGAACCTCAGGGTTTGAACCTTGGTGATCTGAGAGCTGTCAAATCCTTCCTACATAACTCAGAACAGGGCCAAAGGGTGGAGCTCCACCCGAGGGGAACCCAGGAGAGAGCTGTTCACGAAGAGAGTGTCAGCTCAGTGAACAGTGTCCTTGGGGTTAGGAACTTGGGGTCACAAAAGATGTCTCCAGATGATCTGCTCTAAATAGCTGTGATCCAGGGTTCCCTGTGCCCAGTAGTTGGAGCAACAGCAGAAAGGAAAACTCCCATCACCCCTATCACAGCCATGCAGGAAGTCCCTGACTTCAGAAACCCTGCTCCAGCTCCAGTGGCCCTCCCCATTCTGAAAAGCTTTTCAGATCCTGAGCTCAGTCCAGGGAGAGCCACCCTGGGGTGTCCCAGTCCCACCATCCTGCACCAACTCACTACCCACTTGAGGACCCAGGCGGGGTTACGGGGAGGAAGCCATCCACGCCTCGGCCCACCCCAACCCACTTACTGAAAATGCTTAATGATGATTTCTGGGTCTTCAATGTCCTTGGGCACATAGGTGATCATTAGCGTCCTTGTGACCTGGGTGGGAATAATCAATGAAGAAAGAAGACTGTGCTTGCATAGGAATTCCAGACACCTGAGTCTTTTGGTGGCCCGGAGTCTCCTGGGAGCAGGCCTTCTGCTCCCAGCAGGCTGCTGATGCCAGTGTCTCCTTGCTGAGACAGCCAAGAAAGGCAAAGCCAAGCTGGGACACTGTGGGCCAAAACAGTGCCAGCTTCCTTAGCCCACAGTGGCCCAGCTGAGCCAGGCAGCTCTGAGGTTGGTCCATTGTGCTTCTGTTCTCCTCTGTGCCCAGCTGTGGGTGCCCTGCCACAGACCACTGTGGTGAAGGGAGGAAGGGCTGGAAGCCGCCATCAGGCTGGGGTGGAGGATCAGAGCTCCATGATTGGAAAGAGCTGCCCGAGCGACCCCACAGTGATTTCTGCTCTCCCTGTAGCTTCCACTACTCCAGCATAAAGCCTCACATCGCTAGAGAAATCCCTCACATGAGACAGGGTGGCGGAGCTGGGAAGTAAACAAGACTCTGGGGAGAGGATAGGGAAGCTTCTCACGAACTTCACATTTTATTCTGTGAATGGGAAATATCTTCCTGGGTCGTCACCGTTAAGATGACAGTCTGATAAACTGCGCTGCAAGAATCAGGGGTCTTGAAAGAGGCTTCTGGTAACAATAAGGAAAGCTGAAGTAGCAGACACCAGACTGGTCAACGGTGACCAAGCCTCCACGCCTGGCAGGCTGAAGCATTTGGGTTCACTTTTCAGGGAATGTGGATTTGCACTCTGGGGTGGGTTCAGGTGAATCAGGCCTTTTGAATGGATGGCTTGGAAGGAGCTGACTCCACACCACTGAACCATTGAAAGGCTGAGGACAGGAGCCAAGGATGCTCATCCTCGCTGTTGCCCCTCCCCACCAGAGCATGGGTGCCGGTCCAGATGGGTGGCACTATTGGTGCCTGCCCGTGGCCCCCCGTCAGTCATCTCTGCACACCAAAGCCTGCGGCATGCTGCAAACACAGCGACTGCTCTTTCCCGGCCTTGGGGCATGTTCAGCTTTTGTGCAGGGCAAGCAGTGGAGGAGTTAAAGCCCCCAAGTGCAACCCTCAATGAATGGTGGACAGGGAGCTGGTGGAAAATACCCCGATTGCTCACCTCCAGGAAAATTCTGGGGCATGTGTTCTACACCAACTCCCAGAATTCCCAGGTCATAAAGCTCCAGCTGCCTCCAGTGGTAAGCTGCCCCTCTATGCTCCCTTTTTTTTGGTTGCCTTTGCATCCTCACTCCCTTACTGGCCTTTCCTGGGATCACCTCCCATAAACAAGTGCTACTCAATCCAAGTCTCAGGGTCTGCTTGGATGGGGTCACCCAAACTGAGATGGTGGGGAAACACAGGGGGTCTCTGACCTCAGAAAGATTGCAGAAGGGCAAGGCATGGCCCTAGCAGGAGTGGGCAGGGCCAGGTACACTAAGTAGTAGCAGTTCAGCAGGGTCCTGACCACTTAGCATGGAGGCCCCCGCTGGTCCACTGGGCCTTGTTAATCCTTTAGTTTTCGGATGGTGGGAAGTCCAAGAGTCCCTGGGGAGGGGCGGGGCAGCAGAGGGGCAGGGATAGGAGGTACCTGGGCAGCAGCTATTTACCAACCAGTCTGAAAGTTCATTGGGGGTGATAGGGTGGAGGAGGGTGGAGGAGGGTGAGAGGTGGGGGCCAGATAATTGTTACTAGGGCTGAAGGGAGGAAGCTTGGCCCCTGCTCAGGTGAAACCGCCCCCTCCCATCTGCCACAGTCTCCCTGGACCCTCTGAGGGCTTCTCTGAGGGCTGGGAGTGGTCGGCCCAGTGGGGAGCAGCTTTGTAGTCCACTTACCTTTTGGCTATTCCTGGGCGCAAACCTCAGGCAGTGATGAGCCATGAACACAAAGTTGGTGATGAAGTAGAAGAAGGACAGCAGGCTGTGCAGCCACAGGAGCTTGCTCCTACAGGGAGGCAGGCAGCAGCAGTGAGGTCAGCCTGCGAGCTCCCCAGAGCCCACTGCACACAGACCCCTGGGCCTCCTCCTGCCATCAGTCTCCTGGGGCCTCCCAACCTATCACAGTCTCCTCAGACCCCAACCCATCGCAGTCTCCCGGGACTACCCCCATCCATCACACTCTCCCCACACCCCCACCCATCACACTCTCCCCACACCCCCACCCATCACACTCTCCCCACACCCCCATGCATCACAGTCTCCCCAGACTCCACCCATCACAGTCTCCCCAGACCCCATCCATCAGTCTCCCC